ATAATTATTTTCCAGGAATAAATTTGTCAGCCATTCCACTCTTGTCAAATGTTTGCTATCCGCTAGCCTTATACTTCTATGAATCATGGACTTCAAAATTCCAACCTTAGTCTTGTAACTATGATTGGAAAGGAAATTAAGCAGATAGCCAACATATGTTGGCTTCCTATAAACATCTTTTCCCAACTAACCCTCTTCTCTATGATGATAACATCCAGAAAGGGTAAGGACTTATTCTCTTATATTTCGTTTGTCAACCTAATGTTCCTGACTGCGTCAACCTTAACGTCGTATAAAAGCGAAACGGCTTCAGCTCAAAGGGATTAAGCAGTCCTCTTCTGGTGAGATCAACCTACGAATCTCTTCTTCATGCACTTTCATACGAAATGGGGATTACTTAACAATTTTTTATTTGACAATTTCTACGATTTCTTATCTGTTGATTGATTGGTTACTCGAGACCTCACTTGCTTTTTTTTGAAGCTATTGTTTTCCTAGTCTTTGAAATCACTTCTGGCGTACACTAATCTGATTTGTACGGATTTTGGCAGGTGCTCTACTCCTTATTGAAGCTAAGCTATATCGTTTGAATTAACTTAACTCGTAATATAACTGAAATGAGGGTTTTATTTGGATAAGATTTGCAGCCCAATACATTTCGACACATTTTTCATCTGTACGTTACGCAAATCCAGACTTTTCAGACAAATTGAAATCTTTTTTTTAGTACTGTAGAGATTGGCTTTCCATGTGTGATAATTTTGAGGAAAGTATATCATTTACTGTAACTTTTCAAAAAACACCACACTATTCTCCCTTTCTTTTGCGGCTTTTCCATCTCTTATTCGTAGACATTTTGTTCGAGACCCCTGCCTCTGCGGCGATTGCCTCCTTCAGTTTACTTGGCTGAAGGGTGCCATTCTTTTCCTCTTGGGTGCCAGCTTCCTACTCAGCTTTGCATTGATCAGTCGTAAATTCTGCAGCCTCCGGCGAGGCAATATGGTCTACCAACGACAGACTCACCCAAACAGCCACCAGACTTCGCCGACGCCCGTAGCACCTAGCGTAGCGGATCCAATTTCCCCCATCCCTGCAGCCAGCAGTGGGCTCAATTGCGCGGGTGATGTCCAAATCAACTGGCTCGGAGGAGTCCGACCCATTCCAAATGGAACGAGGATCATTGGCAACAGCTCTTCTGGTATGTTGACAGCATACTGAAACAAGAAATTAAGGCCTAACGAATGACAATTTTGCTGTTTCCAACGTCATAAAATTTTTCCTTATGCTACTGCCTTGCTAGCTCTCTAAACGAATTTTTTCTTTTCTGTCCAAAGACCTGATGGTTTGACTTTATTTAGGAGACGACTATGCAATGCGAGTAAATTTCATTTTAGCACCTAAATTATTAGTTCGCTATATGGACGACTACTTTTCCGTTTTGTAAAATGACAGAGAAAGCTTGGTCAATTTTCTTACTTTAATAAACAGGATAGATGGGCAGACGAAATTCATCATCGAATTATACAAGTAAGATGGTTTACTTTTTCTTGATGTCCTTGGTAGCAAATAGGGGAGCAGCTTAGGTAGAGATGTATATGGGAAGCCCACAAGCACAGATTTCCTTTTGAATTTCTTTTCCAACTACATTTACCGGGTTAAAGTAAGAATTAATAGATATGAAGACCAAGATGTTGTGGCTTCTGGTATGGTCGTAGTCTCCTTTCTATTTATAGAAGTGGATTGACCTCGTCGCAACTTGTTCTTGTTGTCAGGGCGACTTAGTAAAACTCATCTAGCACGAAGTCGTCTGCCATAGTAGTTATTCTGATTCCCAGCACCAAACAGTGGACTTGGTACATTCTCAAATATTTCACCGGCACCAGATTGATAAACAAATTCAATTCACGATGGAAGTAGAAGGTGAGCAGTTACCGTTCCTGGATGTCTATGACAATTATAGGCTAAATATTGGAATAAGGAGGAGCATAATCATCCGAAGCCTACGCCTAACAGATTTAGGATTCCGGGACGAGGAGCTGGACAAATTGACGAGGATATTCCTCGGCAAGGGCTACCCAAGCGAAGTGATACAAAGAAACATACGGGTCGTTTAAAGCCGATGACAGAATGGGGACTGAAAGAACAGTAAGGATGATGAAGGATTCACAAAAGTGGGTATGCCTACCTTCCTGCGAACTAACTCATAAACTACGGCCAATATTGAGTAAATGGAATATTCAGGTGGCCATGAAAGAGAGATCAACACTTTTCACAAGTCTACTAACAAAACATGAAAGGGTAGACAAATTGGATTGTTCATGAGTTTACTGTATATCATGCGGCGCCAGCGAACAGAAATATATTGGCGAAACAGGGAGAAAAATTAGCACATAAATGAAGAAACATCAAAGGCTCTGAAGGAAAATGGATGCCGAAAGATCAGAACTAGCGTAGCACATCGCGCAGACTGGACACGAGATCGATTGGAAGGCAACAGAAAGAACCCCATATGGTAACAACACAAGGAAGCGGAAGATTAGGGAGGCAATTATTATCCTTGGGGAGAAAAATCTAATGAACAGAAGATTGGAGG